TCGACAGAAGATGGTCCTAAGCCATTATGGTTAGCTGTCAACAGTTACCACCTAGTTTACCCGAAAATACAAAAAACAAAGAAAGTCTTTAAGTCAAGAATCGGATTATCAAGCGGATGACGATGAAAGCTTTGACGAAGTTGGTGTCAGAGAATAACCACCAAGAAAGAGACAGCGACGAACGGCCATTGATCATCCTTTTAATGTTTACGATGCAGAAGATGAGCAAGAAAAACACGAAAGAAGTGATTCTGATTCACAGACAGAACAAAGCGATGCTAGCTTCTTTGCTGTGTCTGAATCTGAGAGTGATAGTGACAGTTCAGATCACTGACTCTTTCGAGATTTCTCCTTGTCAGTTATTTACAGTTAACTTAATTCTTGTTCCTTAAGATAATTACATTTTTTCAGTTATGTGGTGTTCTGTTCATTCAACCAGCTACAATCTCTAACAGTTCTTGTTTATACAGATATCAGTTTAGTTATGTAACACAAAATCTTATTCTCAATTTGAAAACAAAAAATGTTGATTTTGATTTAATCTCGATTATCTTACCTTTTTCAGAGACTTAAGTTACCCATTTCGATGAAATTTCGACTACAAACTCTATCATTATTTCTACTTTTCAATGTTACACGATGTGTAATTGGAGATGATGACGTCATCACAAAAATTGAAAGGTCACTAAAAATTAACTTGCTATATGTCATTTGAAAGGACTTGATGTCTTCTATTCAGAAATTTATATATTGCTGGCTTTCACTCAAAATGTAAGGTAGTAGGAGTGTAAAACATGTTGCGAGCTGACATTTTATGACGTCACCAAAAATTGAACTTCCATTTGAGATTTCAATTGGTAATAGCAAAATTCGGAATCTACATCAAAATCTGATCCAGACCATCTCGCCATGTGTCCCGTAGCCCTGGACCAGAGCCTATTTTAGTGTGGTTTTTCCCACACTTTGTGGTCTTGGAAATCCAAAATGTGGTCTTGGAAATTCAAAATTGTGGAATGGGTTTTTTCATTTTAGCTATATTTTTGTTATAAATATGCTTTTCTGTTGATAGAGTTTTGTAACTTTATAACATAACAGAACAGTACAAAATATCCATGAATCGTAGCGCAAGTTCCTTGGTCCAAATTAATCTGCTCCATCAGGAGCTAAAAATGTTACAGACAATCAGCTTTTTGCTTTGAAATGGTGTAAAAGCCAATCAGAGCTTGTAAAAGACCCCTGAATCTAGCGACAGTAACAACAATGGCGGCCAAACAGCCACCAAGTTGATTTCTGAAACCTGAAATAATTGAAACTGGTCAGCTTACTCTCTAAGTCCCCCAATAAATGGACTCCCCCCAGTATTAAATTTTTAAAAATCTTATAGCCCCCAGCTCTTATTAGAAACCCCCCACTTTTTGAATTTTCTTGGCTCAGCGTGTCCTTCAATATTAAAATAAGTATGAATTATAGAGCTTCTAGCAATGTTAACCTTTAATTACTGTTACTGTCGGAGTCCATAAAGAATAGGCTTTAATGGAGACATATTTGTAATCGTGTTATGTTGAATATTTTTGTTTTACATAAATAAAGAAAAACGCTTTATACGGCAACGGTCGATATTTTGAAAGTCCATGCTTCGTATACAGGCTTCTTTTCTGAAAGTGTGGTCTTAGGCCCTGCCCTAGACGCAGATGGAGGATTTCTATATCCTTCACAATAGATAGGAAGAACTTCAAACCTCTTTTTTGTGGATGTTAGTTGCGTAGTTCCCTGAAAGGAGGGGCCTTGCAAGTATCATCAATTTTACTTGCAAAGTCGTCACCCACAGAGCAGAAAAATTCATGCTTTCAGGAATTTCTTTTTGCCAGCATAATTTTAGTCTTGCTCCTCAAGTCATACTATGTTAGTACTTTTATATCTTTTATTCAAGAGCTGGTTTTAAGTTCTCCAAGATCATTCATGTTACCTTCCTGAGAAAAAAGTTTGTTAGGAAAACAGTTCTTTTTTAACTGGACATTGAGGATGCAGATATGTTAATGGGGGATGATGTTGCAATATGGTCAATTATTGTTGAGGATGACAAAGTCTCTCTGTTTGGTTCCTTGATCAACTGCTCATCAACCACCTTAATCTTCAAAGAGGCGAAAATCAAAATTTATCCTTTTAAGTTTTTACTATCTTCAGTTTTCCTTTTCTTCATGGCTAAATGCATTTTTCTTCGAAATTCCTATGTAGCTTCCCTTCTATGGTTTAGAAGGATTTGTTCATGGTTTCTGATTTTTCAGTGTTATCGTTAGCCAAGTCCTTCTCATTGTTTTGATTGAGGCAATCCTTTACTCTTTCTTTTCATTCATAGGCGCAAACTTAGGGGGTGCTCCAGGGGTTTGAGCCGCTCCTGACAAAAACTTGAGGGACTCAGCCCCCCTGGGAATTAAGGAAGTTGGCTATCGATTTGTTCGACTAATTTTTCATATTCTTGGTTTCACGAATAAAAATCTACTCAAGAGGTTTAATCGAGATCAAATTACAACGATAATAAACAACGAAAAAGAAATTCGCCTTAGAACCCTTATCTACGCCTTTTTCTACCCTCTGCCGTCGGCAGCCTCCATTAGCAATTGCAAATAATTTTTGAGCCCCCCTTCTCCCTCTGGAAAAAACATAAGTCTGCGCCTATGTTGTCATTGAAAGTAACCCTCTTGACAATTTTCCAGAAGCCACTCCCCTGTCTATCACAATCGCCAAGCAGATTTATCCAGTACTTTTCCAAAGCAATACCTAGTTTTTATATTTACTTTGCTTTTTAACTTCATTGCAATATTTCTCTGTTTTTGTGCATGTAACTTTTTAACAACTTTCTGGTCTTTAAATTGATAAATGGTGGTGAATATTTTTTCTAACCTATGCTCTACTTTGGAGCTTGTGGTGTAGCGGATAGGACTCCCTGACAAGGCTATTGGAAGATTTGCAGATGAATGAGTGGACTTTCTAGCGTCGGACATAACCTTTCAAACTTTAAGCCCCGGCCAAACGACTCGATTTTTCATTCGATTTGTTACTCAACAAGAAATCGAGTGAAAATCGAGTTATTCTGCCACTTTGTCGAATAACGTCGAGTGATGTTAAATGAAGTTTGAACTTTATCAAAAAAGTCGAGTGGAAAAGGTGTTGTCGAATGAAAATCGAATCGTTTGGCCACCTTGTCGAGTGAGTCAAGTGGGCACGTGCGCAGTTATCATCTGATATGCTTAGTTATTTGTAATAAAGAGCTGATATATTCGAAAGCCGGGCGGCCAAAAAGGGGGGCAGGGAAGCATACTACCATGGCGCCTCTAGGTCCAGGGGACCTTTTTGAAGTGATGAATTTTTGAAGTTTTGAAGTTGCATGTAAGATAAGCACGGCAGTCGCTTTGCGTTTCTTTGCCTTCATTTTGTTGGCGTGAGCGAAAAGTGGAGTGAAAAATCGAGCGAAAAATCGAATCGTTTGGCCACCCATGCTCGGCTGCGCTCGATTTTGAGATCAAATGTCCAGAGAAAGATCGAGCTAAAAGTCGAATTGTTTGGCCAAGGCTTTAGCCCCTTCTCGAATGAATTCTCAGAAAACACAGACTTCTTTTCAGCTTTTGAAGTCTAGATTCAAAACAATTTTTGACAGCTGTTAGTGCAAATGTCAATTCAAGTTTCTCTATATAACCGGTTCGCTAAAATCACTTCGGTGATCCCCTTCAATGAAATGAAGATAAATTCTCATCTTTCGTGCATTCTATGAAGCAAAAGTACGTTCAAGGCATAACTAAGCTATGCAGAATTTTTGAAAAGATTTCTACTCCCCCCCCCCCCTAATGGCACCCACTAGATGAGGACATGGCCCTCTGAGTCTTTGCTTTGGTGTAATCTGTTTTTTAAAACTGTACCGAGACTTAATTAACAAACCATCTGCTCATATAAAAGTCCTTTCCGAATTGACGCTCAGAGCGAAATTAAATTTTGCCAATTTTACATGGAATAACTAAATTTTGCCAAGAGGATAACTGTGTTAGTGCAGGCGTCCTTTGGCTTGAATCAAGCTATAATCTCTTGAAGCATGCTGCTGGTACGGACATACTGCCTTTAGCAGTGTAAAATGTTGTCTAGCACGGAAGGACAGTGAAACCGATACAGCGACACAAAGTTTATCTCTTTCTTATTCTTCGGAAAAAGGTCTTTCCTATAGGTTAATTTTGCCAGCTTACCAAGGACGAAGTAACACACGGCAAGGGCGTAGCCTTTCACAACCGTTAAGGCCTGGCCAAACTTAGCAAACATTTGTCAAACATAGTTGAACTATAGGATGTTTTATGGCCTAGCCTACCCTGGATGCGGAGCCCTGTATGCATCTCTCGATCTCCAACAACTCACTTTGGGTATGGGAGGGATGATGTATGATTTGATGGCTCAAAAAGACACTATTGTGATGCTCCTGCGAGACGGACTACAAACGTTTTAGGAATTATCAGCTGAGCGACGAGGAACGTAACAAAATAAGTGAAGGAGGAAATTAGGGCTATTACAAGAAAATCCTTTAAAAACAACTTCATTTCAAACGAAGTTTAATTTGTTTAAACCAGCTAGAATCATTCAACTTGTCTAAATGTCATCAAACATTCTTTTCGCCGTTGTTTGAAGAGTTATATAATGTTCACCATTCTTAAGCAAAATGGCTAAGGTTAGCTTTGATAGGGGCTTTTATCTAACATCCGTTCGGGACCTCTGCTGCTACACCCTCATCAAGTCTCTATTCCCTTCCCGCTTTTTCATTTTTACCAAGTAGATATAAAAGCAGCATGTCATTATATTGCGAGATTCGCGCGGCCTTTATGTCTGTATACCTCCACTTCACTTGAGATGAATAGAAAAACACTGGAAGGAGACATAAACCTGAAAGCTGCTTCATGCTATTAAAGCCAACACATTGTTCATAGCGCATGCGCATCGAAGCAACAAATTAAACAGAAAAAAAGTTTAAGGTTACTGGCATGAATAGCATAAAATACCATTTTAAAATGAACTCCAATTTTGGTCAATTATAATTACGAACTCAAAACATTTTCAAATTACCATATGGAATTTGACGAGGCATTGTAATTATGAATCAACTATAAGTACTTTCCTACTCTATAATTTCTACGAGAATACTTGTCAGGTGAAGCCTGGTTGCGACCCGTTAACAGCATCTAGCGCCCTCGCAAGTCCAAATCCCTTCACTATATATTGTAGCCTCATTTTGGCCTGCAAAACTGCCTAACGCAAACAGAAGTCATCGAAAGTCTCGATTCGATGCAGGACGTTCTTTATTCAACTGGCAGCGACGCTGATGTGAACAGGCTTTGATATAGGTGACATCAAATATGTTTATTAAGCATTGGGAATTAAAATCTTACTAAAATAAATGCCTTGCAGCTAAATTGCACCATTCGTTTTCACTTTGCACGTAAGGGATGGGTCGACAACGCAACAGCTACATTAAAGTGATCGCTGAGAACAGGGCTAAGAAAACTCGAGGGTTACTTTTCGTCAATTACACCCTATTCTATGTAGAGAAATACCCTATTCAAATGTGTTAAACGGGTCTCTGTGGCCAAAGCATCTAGACTAGACTTACCAAAAGCAAGTCGAGACCTTGGCTACTCTAGATTACGACATAATAGAACAATGATAATAACAATAGCACAAAGACGCCGATTTGAGGTCCAGCTCTAAACTAACAAGAGGACTAATAGCTTACTCAACAAGAAAAGGCGCTGCCTGCTTATGGTGACAACAAAACGGCATTTTGCGTAGCTCCAGCCAGTGGCATACAAGAAAGTCTGTATCTACCAAAAAGGTAAATTAGCAAACCGGTTTAAAATACAAGGCTATACAGCAGAATTATAACTGCTCGGTATAATTTAAAAACTTAATTTCGAATAAAGGTCTACAAGAAATATGAAAAGTAAAAACGCAGTAGAAATGGTATGCTCAGCAAAAATTAAGACAAGGGGATGCACTTTACAGGAACTTTTTTGTTAAACTTTGCAAACGTCAAGGAATAATCATGTGATAGCTTTAAACGCGGTGGTCTATTGGAGCAACTTAAACATTTCTTTTAGGCAGTTTTTACAATGGGAAAAGGGTTCGTATCAAGGCATGGTTGTAGCCAAGGGTGGTGTTGGATAATTCGTATGTACGAACGGCTAATGCTAGGGTAATCATAGGGTAATGCATTCGGCGAGCAGTCGAAAAAGGAGCTTCCCATTACCACAAAACTCATCTGTTCGAACTAGACATTTCTAATACTGCTTAAATATGTTAAATAAGTTGATTTGATTTAAGACGAAGTTACACGACGAACGTAATGAACATTCCTACCAGAGGTTTATTAAGTATCATTTGAAATTTTAGCGTTGCAATACTCCAATGAGAACGTAGCAACAACAGACGTTAAGTGATAAGACCAGCTCCATAGTCAGTTCAAATATAATATGCTCTATTATACAAGCTATATCAGTCATAAACCAGTCTCAATGATTAGCTGCTATGCTTTTATGAGTTCAGAATTGGTCTGAAGACTTCTCTACGGAGTCTGCAATAAAAAGAATCAATTTTTAACAATAACATCAACGATTTTATTATTGCAATAGACAGTTACCACCCAGCAATTGCAATTTCTGCGGCACTCTCTGCCTTCAATTCTGAAAGCAATTTAAGGACGCTTGTCAGCCTAACAACTCGAGCTAATTATTAACTGTGACTGTAATAAGAACTAATTATTAAAATGTGCACAACTCGAGATAAATCAATATGATATGCTTGGAGTGCAGAAAGGAAAATCACTGTTTTAAAAATAGAACAAAACAATTATGCAACACAGAAGCTATCAACGTTTTCAGCGGCGAAGTAATACCGAACAGCAAAAATCAAAACAAGTTGTTGATTGAGTGCGGATGCATTCGGAACTGATGAAAATTATAAATAAATAATGAAGTTGATGCAGCTGAAAAGACAGCATTTGAAAGCCTGCTAAGAGAAAAGTAGCGCACAATGGTGGCATGCTTACTGCAGAATGCACTAAAAGTTGTTTACATCGGCCGATTGGAGGAAACCTATTGAAAGGTGACCTGGATGAGCGTAATAACGGTTGTTTATCTGACATGTCTTTCAAACTACTGATGAACTCCATTAAGATCGTGGTACTGCGATTACACAAGCAATGGTGTGACGTCAAGTGTTGACGCAACCACTTTTGTTTCTTTTGAAATAATACCACTTCGTTGCGTGTGGGTTGCACAGTAGGTAGTTGTTTCAACATCCTAGCAACGAGGAGGCCTTGTCAAGCATTATAAAAACTAATTGTCAATTAGTACGGGGGTTTTCAATGGGAAGATAATGAAAGAATAGATGTCTGAACGCCGAGGAATCGTGTGGTTCCAGAACAAAAATTAAGAGGATATGAAAAGGTTTGCATGACACAATTTTTAATGGGATTAAGACCAGACGGAAATACCAGTTGAGAAAATAATAGCATTTCCCCGACACACGAGAAACAAATTGTTCAAACAAATCATTGATTTGGATTTCTTTGGAAGTTTTTTCCTACCTTTGCTCTTCCAGCAACTTCATTAGCAAGAAAGCAAGAAAATAACTGGACAATGAAAGAAACAAAAAAAACTAACCACCTTCCAATGCATGTTCTGTCATGCTTCTACACAATGTCTCCAAATTTTCAAAACTTTTATTTGGGCCATCTTCTGTGACATCTACAAAATTTTCAAATTTCAAAATGAGAGACGCGAAGAAGTATCAATTTTCTTCAAAAGGTATTTTTAGTTTAAATTACAAGACTGTCTTCTACCTACAAAAATAAGGAAAACGATTGGCACTTATAGCGTAGAAATAAAAAACCTCTTTACTGGAAAAAAAGAAAAACAGGTTTAATAGAGTACAATGTTTTTATGGCTTAAGCAAGAGCTTAAGTAAAACCAAGACTTCCAAACGACAAAACATTTGAATCGTTTCGATTGATTACTTTGCTGCTGGCAAAAAAAGGCTGGTCGAGCTAGCTGAAAACTTACCAGGATGCAGTGCTTGCCCAATGTGGGATGGTCGTATTGGTGCAGATTTGGTGCGGCATACTGACTGGTGGCTTTTAATCTAAATGGAAGGAGTCAAATAAGCTAGAAAGTCGCCAAAACAATCGCCAAAACAATCGGCAAAAGGAAGAGTTCGAGCGGATTGCCAAACAAGAGAACTAAATATTGTTCAGTAACTAAATGATCGCAATGAGGAAATCTATGAACCGTGACAAATTAACTTTTCAGGATGTCATAAACTTCAAGTGACCAGTTGCTTCGCATACACAAGTAACAGGCAATCTTCTGACAGGCTACAACACTTAACATCACCGCAAGGTCCTTCTGATTCAACATAAAAAAGTCTGTACAACGAGACTTACTGGATTGTTGAAGGACACAGAGGCAGATGGCCCAAGCCTTTTATGGAAATTGGCTAGAGGTCCGGCTCTAGCAATCCCCAATCCAGTGCTTGAGGTGCCTTTAAGGGAGCCACCGCGAGGGCTGCGTCTTTTCCCCATGTTGGGGCCGATTGGATCCATCATCCAACTACAAAAAATTATTAAGTATGATTAAATACACCAAAAGTAGACAGGGTGATAAAAAACGAGCGTAAATATGAAACTCAAAAATTAATTAAAAAATCACAATTCAAAAAATTATCTTTAAAAACCATGGCAATTTTTACGATAGCATTGAATTTCTGCATTTTATAGTAAAAGTTTGCTATAATTGTTAAAATAAAGCTGCACACAAAAGGACACTGAGTAATGCCATGGTCTCTGTTCAGATTAAAAGGAAATCATAGTCTATTGCCTGAAAAATGTTGAGAGGGCTGAGGCTGTTGCAACAAAGAAGAGGGGAGGGCAATTCTTGAACATGAACTGATTAGCATATATGTTTGTAAACAAAACGAGGCAAAAAACATCCAGCAAACATACGCAAATAAATCAGACCGAAGTAAATCGGAACCAATCTCACCTTCTGAGACTTTTTTCGGTATTTGCGACTTTCCTGTTGGTAACAAGCTGCTTTGCCATATTTTTGCACTGAATCTTCCAAGATTGCAGCTTTCTCTTCTGGGGAGGAGTAAATGCCTTCGAGAAAAATTATAAGTAATCAATAATCCACTGACGATGGGAATTTAAGTTTCATTTCAATCAAACGACTGAGGAAGCAACTTTATGCAGAGTTTAACATTATATATATATATACAATCAATGACAAATAGGAGTACTGCATTTTCAAGTTCATCATTCTCACCTCATTTGCTAGAATCTTTTCAACAATCCAGAGATATGTTAAGCAATACTCTTCATCCTGCTGGGCCACCAAAATCTGAGTGCAGGCTTTGGAGAAATGATAACATCATCATGAAAATGTCTTCCGGAAGCATTTCATAAGTAATATCACTTCATGCAAAATATCATTTCATGAGAAATACCATTTCATGAAAAAAATATCTTTTCAAAGAAATTTTTAACATTTCTCATCTTAGAGCATCTGAAGTTAAAATGAATAACATACAGTAAAAACCCGCATAAAAGAACCTAGGTTTTATTCTGGCAGCCTGAATAGGTTCTTAATTAACAGCCTGCTATTCTAAATTCCAGTCTAGAAGGTTCTTAACAAGGTTCTTATATACGTACAGGCCTTGAACACATTAACAATGTTTTCAACAGCAAGGATTCTAACAGACACATAAACCAGCCATTTTTTTCATGTTAATTTCAAGCCAATCAAATGAATTTGTGTTGTTAGATTGTCCAATTAGAATGTAACATGGCATAACCTGATTTACTCTAAGCTGGTTTAATTAGACAGTGTGAATAGGGTGTAAAAATACCTTTTCAAAAATACATAAGAACCTTTTCAAATTACAGCCTCTTGGGGGTTCTTAATTATGAGGTTTAAAAGATTAAATTTCAGCCTCAAGGTTCTTATATAAACAGGTTCTTTTATGGGGGTTTCTACTGTACTGTCATGAACAGACAAATTATTAAAGCTAATAGAAAAAAAGACTGTTTTGAGTTTAATATAATATCATACCTTTTCCCATAACCTTAACAATCTGAGAGGGAAGGTCATCTGGATCAGGAGGATCTCCAATGACACCCACTGACGCATTGACTGTATCTGCTGTCTCGCTCTGAGACACAGGAGGCGAGCAAACATGTGGCTTAATTGGGGTTATTACAATCTGTTTCAGCTCTGCTAAGACACTTGGCAATTTCCCCATCTGCAAAACTTCCTAAAGGAGTAAAGAGGAAAATTTAAAAACAAGGAAACTTCATTAAGCAAGTATCGATTGCAGCCCATTGAGAGAAACGCTATGATTTTGGTGGATCTGATAACATTTAAGATAACATCAAAGAATGAAGGAAAAAGTCAAAAGACGTTGACCCTTCCTTCCATACTTCTTCTTTGAAGCAGTTTCTCATTGCACAAAGTATGTTTGGTACGATGAAGATGTAGTTTAATCAGTTTACAAAGTCCATATTCCAATAATCACTGTAAGCTCAAATGAATACAAACGCAATAAAACTTTTTAGAATGATAGATATCATCCTGAAATGACAGAAATGGCATGAAGGCAACGTTTCTGATGCCTCAATAACCAACATTCCGATAAGAACCATAAGGCATTCAGATTGCAAAAAAGGGCCATGAGGCATAAGTTCTTAATCACAAAAGCCATCTCTATTTATGACTTTTTGTCCCTTTTGTCAGATTGCTATGATGACTGATGTTTATGAAAATACAAGGATCACAAAAAAAAAGAATACACTTAAACAAACCTTTTCTAAAGTCGCCAACAATTGTGGCCTTTCTTTGAGCTTTTGCAAGCAGACTAAAATCTTGTTTGTTGCCCCAACGGTTACACCCTAAAAAAGCATTTGAGAAATGCATTAATGGTTGCAAAAGCAAAATACATCTTGACAAACAAATAAGACATGATGGAAAATACCATTCATTCATTGTTGAAAGCCCCATAAAAAACACACAAAAAAGTTTGCTTTCCAGTTAAAATGCTAAAAAATGGCAAAGGAGTCACTGGTGTAATTTTGCTGAAGCAAACTTTCATGCTGGGAAAAATCAGGGTAAAAGTAACATGGACAATTTTCTATAGATATACTTGATTATCAATTTGCTTAAAAAACTTTTGATGAACTCTTTTTAAATTTTGATTAACAATTTTTGATGAAATAGAGCCATTGAAGAATACAACTTAGCCTTTATTTTCACTTTGTCATTAATCTTTCCAATATACACATTATATATATATGTTTGTCTGAAACTTTACACTAATAGAAAGTTATCTAACCTCTATAGAAGTTAAATGTACTGCTAAGTCTGGAAAACTAAGCCAAAAATGTCCAAACTGCTATTACTTATCTGAAAGAGCAAAATGTTTCATGTTAAGCTAGATGTACCTTGCCCTTCAAGAAGTCATCTGACAATCCCAACATTTCCTCGTATGTCATTTCACTGAATATGTTACTGTATTTGTGAAGCCTGAGGCTTTTCAACCATCCATGAACATCTAAAAACAGATAAGATTACTAAAATTTCGAAGTTAGGTTTGGTACTTGCTAACTGAATTAGAAAATCAACATATATATACATAATACAGAATCTTTGGTTTCTAACCCTTACTGAAAAGAGAACAAAGCTTATAAAAAAATCAATAACACAGCCATGCAACAGCTTTACTATGCTTCTAAAAAAGAAGAACAGTACATCAATATCTCTACAAATATAACTAAGAGGCCATAGGGTATATATATGAATGGAAAAGCTTAATCCAGTGTCTCCTAACTGCTCTATAAAGTGATTGCCTTAGGGCCCTGAGAAAACAGAAGGGTATAGATACCTTTCATGCCTGGCTGTGCCAAAATTGTCTCATCTGGACTCCCAAATCTTCTGCTCAAAAATTCGTCATCACTGTCCAATGACTGCTGTGGAGAAACTTTTTTGTGAAGATTCTTGGGATCCACTGGAAACGATGAAGATCTTGTTACCCTTGTTTGCACATGCCCAATGTCATCATAAGAATCCAATAGCCCAATGTCACCTATTTTGTCAAGCGAGAGGCAATATAAAATACTATACTAACAATCAGAAACAAAAAAACTACTAAAGGCATAATATTGAATATTGATAAAATACAAATTCACGCACTTCTTCCAAAAGTTTTCTATTATTCTAAATGACATACATTGGATAGCTGTGTTTCCGAAATGTGAATATATCCAAAATGAAAACAAGACATGATTAAAAATTTCACCTGATGCAGGGGACCCTAATTCATCAAAAGATGTGCTTATTCCAGAGTCTTTGTGATCTAGACGCTTTCTCATCTGTGGAACCTGCTGCTGCTGAGGTTGTGTTTGTGCCTGAGTTTGAGGTCTCCATCCATTTGTTTGTCCACCATGAAGAATGTGATTGCTAGCTTGAATTCTCCAAGAGTCCTGGCCTCCTTTATTGTAGTGTGCTGATGAATCAGACAGGGTGTGGTGCAGTGCAAGATTGTGGCGTTTTTCTTTACTCTTTTCTTCTTTTTCAGTGAGATGGCTTAGCCAATGATTTAGTTTACCTTTTTCTTGATGTGTGAAGGCAGGATGGACAACTGCCAAAGAAAAGAGCTGCCTGCACTCTTCTTCATGGACTGACTTTTCTAATGAATGTGACAAAATATGGGGTAGTAGAGTAAGGTATTGCTCCTTTGCCTCATTATTTCCAGGGTGCAATAGAGGCAAGTGCATCAGCAAACTTTGCACTGCAAAGTCTTTGTTTTCTTTGTACAAACTCATCAGGAATTCTGGAGAAAAAAGCATATTTTACATAAAAAAGTATTCTGACTTTTGCAATGGCACATTTTCTAAACATTAGCCATTATATAACAGTCACTGTGCTTGTATCAAGTAAGGATCCCTGGCAGTGATGAAGTAAGGATCTAATGGGAGATAGACATTGTAGAGTCTGCAATGGAAAAGTTTATTAAACCTACATGAAATATATATATAAATATGTATACATATATGGTAGTAGGAATATTTTGTCATTAAAGTCTGTCTGGTGAGTGCACAAGCACAAAACTCCAAGTAACAGAGAACATGTTTAATTTTTAGCCCATCTTCTACTTTATAAATACATATACATTATTATTTGAAAGGAAGTATAACACTAGGCACTCAAACAAAACATATAAAAAACTAACCAATTTTTTGGTGTCATTTCTAGACTAGAATTATTAAACTGTTCTGAAGAAACTACAGGTTGGCTTTGCTTATTTGACAACCAATTTGCTTCAACTCGAGGGAAGTCTACAAAGATTTAATTATTCTATTATAATGCTTTACAAATCTTGTAATACTTTTACACTATCACATAGATGCTGTATCTGTTGCTTTGGTAAGAAAAGAAATAATGTTAAATGGAATCAAAAGGCTGACCTTTATTGTTGGCTTCCTGTTCCAACATTTGAACATCATTGGCACTGTCTTTGAAAGTATGATCAAGAACCAATGATAAAAATCTTGCTTGAGTTGGTCCCAGCCTTCTCAGCAAAAAATAACAAGCAATTGTCTGTTCAATATCATTCCAGTTGCTAAACCATCCATTTACAACATTGACTTGATCTCTGAAAATGTGGGCAGGCTTCATGATTTCCTCACGTGGGTGTGCTTGATAATGATCAGACTAAAACAGAAAATAGTTGAGAATCCTCAAACTATGAAGAAACAAGAATGTTTCTAGAATTTGAAGCATTGGGGCTGTGTTAAAATGGGCACTCTGCTAGCATGCTGATTATAGCATAATAGCAAAAACTGAAATTATAAAAGATGATGATTATAGCATAATAGAATCTTTGTTAATTGTAATTCTAAACTTAAAATGTATAATCTGTCAATTTTTTAAATTTTACAGTCTAAAAAACTTGATAATTTAAAGAAACATAAAGTTACAGACAATTAAGCTATGTAGATATTTTATATAATCTGGTTTCAAGGGCATTTCTAATTATTGTTTTTGCATCTTTAATTCATTCTGATCAAAGTTGTATAGCCTTTAAAATAGCTTCAATGATTTGAGATTACAGGGGGAAGGCGTGGGACAAAACACTTTATGAAAATCGCATAACAATTGATAGAAACCCTTTTGTTTCATGTGAAAGTCCCTTCAAATCCTTTTGGTTTTGGTGGAGACCTCGTACACTATTTTCAACAGTGAATTGTCCCTAGCGAAAAGGGATTGCAGCGAATGACGTCATACCATGCGAGGGAACAAATTGCAGCAAGCGAATAACTGTCCAATTGGGAAAGGGAGATGATGACTAGAAAATGGTTTATCACATTAAATTGAGTGTCATGATTCATTCAGATCAGTAATTAATTGCAGAATTTCCAATGGAGGTTTAAGTCCCATGATCGACGACTGGACACGTCAAGGAAGTGTTCCGAGCGAGTCTCTTCCGATTGTTTGCACTCGAATACGCATTTCCCCCTGAATACGCTTTAAAAACAATGCATTCTTCAAGGGCGTGAAAGACTTTGAATGCACGACTTTCGAAAATTTTGCAAGATAGCTGTCAGCAGAAGTCGCCCATGAACCGAATAAGCGAAGACGGACCGAAGACGGACTGAAGAAGGACCGAGGACGGACTCAGAAAATATTCCAAATGGTCAAACTATTCAAATCGCTGAACGTCTACTGTGATACCGCAATTGAACACACCTCGGGGTTGTATAAGTGCTTACAATTTTGTTATTAAAAATCGTCAACTTGTGTTGGAAAATTACTAAAAGAATAAAAAGTCAACCCAACCAAGGTTTCAGAACAAATATAACTTTTCACCCGAAGAAAGGTTCCAGGTAATAGCCATGAAACGCAATTTTGAATTTCAGTGTGATTTTGAGAAAAAACATGTTGGATATATTGTATGTTCAAATAAAAACTAAAACATAACACACTGTTAAGGAAATAGATAAAGGGAATGTGCGTATGACGAACTCCTGGCAATCTGATCTTTCCTTTGTTTATTAGGAAAACAAAGCCAAATTGCTATTCAAAATTGATGTCCTAAACGACAACAAAGAAGCGACACCACTACCGTTTTTCTCGGGCTTGAATAATAAAGAAAGAAATAAAAACCTACCAACATGTCTACAAGAAAAGGCTTGAATAGGCCAACAGAATCTGCTTCTTTGTGAACGTTGAAAGGACTCCTCCTTAAATATAGTCTGGCTTCGACAAAAGCCAAAAGTTCATTCCTCCGAGAGTTTTGGACTCAGCGCTCGTCAGATATGATCCAGCAGTAATGTTCTGGTTAGCGAATCAATGAATAATATTTGTAGGTCCAAATTGATGAGCGATTCGTTTTACACCTTTCTTAGAGCTTGATTCAAGAAGAACTGCATCGTGTGGGCCTCTCGCCCACTCATTCTTCCAGCTGCTTTTGTTGAACTGTGAATCCTTCGGTTCGCGGTTGTTTAAAGGAACGGTACGTCGTATGAACCTCCAGGCTGTTTTAGGGTTTCCCCTCTTATTTAATCCACACCTTCGTAAATCGATTCGAACATTACACACAAAATGCTATGGTTGGTAGTCCAACTGCGACAAATGGAATTTACGTTTTGACTGAACATAAAAGTAAATGTTTTCTAAAATACGGAACAATGAAATACGGACTCGCCAACTTCGAATGTTTTGCTTTATTATTAATTCATCCTTTCACAGCTGACGTCAGTTGAAATTTCCCGTATCTACGACAATTGTTGTTGGTTTTAACTGCAAAATCAAAATTTCCTGGCTGTATTCAAGGCGCATGAGGGCTGTACACGGACGTTGGAACGCAAAATTTGAAAGTTGGGGCAGGGCTAACGAAAGTGAAGGACCAGGTTTTTTAACCTTTTATTGCAGCTTTGAAATTACTTGCTTGGCAAAAAAGTTGTCTTTTGTGACATGACCGGACATGACAAGTACCAAGCAAGACATGAAGTTAAGTTAAGGCAAAAACAACTTCCATTTAAGTTAATAATGCTTTGAAAGCATTGTTAACATTTGCATTTTATCCAGGGGCAGTGCTATGAGGGTGATGCCCCTCCCCCAAAGAGCCATCGGTATTATTTACTGCTTACTTTGCAAACTTGTTCGACGATAAAGTCAACCATTCACCGGACAACCCCTAGAAAATTCTCCAGGAACGCTCCTGAAGTTCGTTTTTTTCAAATTCAAGGGGCCATAAACTCAGCAAAAAGCTATTAAATTTCCGGTTCCGGATATAAAAAAAATATCTATAACCTACATAATACTTGTAAACTTTTTGAAAGGCAAAGTGCTTGTAAACTGGCTATAGAAAAATCGCCGAGAGCTTAAATTCAATATTTCGACAAATTTTGTTGGCAGGAGTATCACAAGTAAATATTTTCTTTGTGTTACCGAGACTTTTCATCGAAAATTACATTCACCTATGCGTATGCGATCACCGAAGGATTTCGCTGCAATTTATGACACATGACTCATTGAATTCTCAGTGGCTATCAGACACCCAGCGGCGTTTCTGGTTCCATGTTTTATGATAGCATTCATGGTTAAAGATTCCACGCCGCGTGTTGTCTCGACGAAAGCACGCTCTACAAATAGCAACGGACCAGCTGCATTCAGGGTTGAGGAAAACGAGGACAAGGTAGCAGGAATGT